AGCACATTTCGCTGTTTAGTAGCACATTTCGCTGTTTAGTAGGACCGCTAATATAGGGTCTAATATATAACTCTATGTGCCCGCCTGAGTAGATAGTGTAGTGAAGCGAAACATACCGCCTGTATCATACAGGTTAGTATATCCTTAGTAGTTATCTAATTTCGTGAAATTAAAATATATTGTAACAGTACCGATATATGGATTATTATCTAAGTGAATAAATAAATAAAATAAAATAAAATAAAATAAAAATGTATACTTACCCTGAATTATTATTATTATTATTGAATTATTATTGGCCCTGAAGAATCGGAAGCTCACTTTAGCGCCACCGGTTAGCAATATGTCAGCCACCATAGTTTCGAAGATTCTTTATACACATTTCTGCTAGAACTAACCGCTAGAAGTAATGCTACTTAGGGCACGTTCAGCGTACTTACTTGGTGCACATCACAAGTTTGTCGTGTGATTTATGTGCATAGGTTGGCACATTTTATAATGTCAAATAATATTACGTGAGCCTAGTAATGTTTTGAACGTTTTTGCAACGTTATTTAAAATTATATTTTAATATCAACGGTGTCACGGATGTGGAAACCTTTTTGCGACGTTATTTTGCAACGTTCATAACAGAGTGTGATATGGGTATGTTTGGACAAGTTGTTGTCGGCCCACCTGGGAGTGGAAAGAGCACGTATTGCACAGGCCTTCAGGACCTGCTGACACAGCTAGGGCGCAAGGTAGAACTGCCATCGTGATCAAAGATAGAAGATTGAGTAATAAATACCTACAGTACATGCAAAAATACATTTACCAAAACAAAGAATCCGAAATCTCTTTTTTCTGCCAAAGTCAGCAGTGAGCTGACTTGTGCTAGACCCACTGATTTTCTGAGTTGTAATGAATGTTGAGCTGTCAGTAGTGAATGCATGTTGATCTACCCAATTGTGAGAAAAATGTTGCCGGACTGTGGGTCGAGCGGGCAAGTAATATCTGCCAGACCTGCCCAAAAATACCTTCGGTTTGACAGGTCTGATGAATTTCGCATGCTCTGCCAAAATAACAATTAAAGCAATTGTAATCCTTATGGATATATGGTCAGGGTTCTCCCTACGTTGCGCAAACGGGGCGCGCGCGCCCCGTTTGGGAAAACTCCCCCCTGTTTCAATCGTTGCGCCCCGTTTAAATTACCTCCGCCCCGATTAAAATCCACCACAATAA